CGGCTTGGTCGCCGTCGGGCGCGCCTCAGGCCCCGACCGGGCGTCCGAGGCCGCGCGGGCTGCGATCTCCTCCCCGCTGCTGGGCGTGTAATTCACAGCTAATCAGTCGTTGATTAGGCCGCGCGAGCTGCGATCTCCTCCCCGCTGCTGGGCGTGTAATTCACAGCTAATCAGTCGTTGATTAGGCCGCGCGAGCTGCGATCTCCTCCCCGCTGCTGGGCGTGTAATTCACAGCTAATCAGTCGTTGATTAGGCCGCGCGAGCTGCGATCTCCTCCCCGCTGCTGGGCGTGTAATTCACAGCGAATAAGTCGTTGATTAGGCCGCGCGGGCTGCGATCTCCTCCCCGCTGCTGGACATCGAGCTGCGGCAGGTGCTTTTGCTACTTTTGCTATAGCTAGCTGACTAATGAGTCAACGATTGGGAGGGGGGCTGGTGTACGCATGATTTGATTCAGTAATGAGTGACTCGATTCACTAGGTGCGGGGGCTGGTGTACGCCGTGCAGGGCGGGCCGTCGGTGTCGCTGCCAGAGGTTAATTATCTCATAATTAATAGTTAATTATCTAATAATTAGGCGGGCCGTCGGTGTCGCTGCAAGAGGTGCGGAGAGGGCTGGCGATCTGCTGGCGGAGATCGCGACGGTTCGTTAGTTCACCGATGGACGAACCAACTAGGTGCGGAGGGTGGGCGATCTGCTGGCGGAGATCGCGGCGGTTCGTTAGTTCACCGATGGACGAACCAACTAGGTGCGGAGGGTGGGCGATCTGCTGGCGGAGATCGCGGCGGTTCGTTAGTTCACCGATGGACGAACCAACTAGGTGCGGAGGGTGGGCGATCTGCTGGCGGAGATCGCGGCGGTTCGTTAGTTCACCGATGGACGAACCAACTAGGTGCGGAGGGTGGGCGATCTGCTGGCGGAGATCGCGACGGTTCGTTAGTTCACCGATGGACGAACCAACTAGGTGCGGAGGGTGGGCGATCTGCTGGCGGAGATCGCGACGGTTCGTTAGTTCACCGATGGACGAACCAACTAGGTGCGGAGGGTGGGCGATCTGCTGGCGGAGATCGCGGCGGTTCGTTAGTTCACCGATGGACGAACCAACTAGGTGCGGAGGGTGGGCGATCTGCTGGCGGAGATCGCGGCGGTTCGTTAGTTCACCGATGGACGAACCAACTAGGTGCGGAGGGTGGGCGATCTGCTGGCGGAGATCGCGGCGGTTCGTTAGTTCACCGATGGACGAACCAACTAGGTGCGGAGGGTGGGCGATCTGCTGGCGGAGATCGCGGACGAGGACGCGCAAGTCATCTTCGGCGCCTCGACGTCAGACGGCAGCGCTGGCACCGCGAGTTCCTTAATTAAGCCCCATTAATGAGTTGAATCAGGCGCCTCGACTCCGGACGGCAGCAAGCTAAACGAGCAGGTCCGAATGGACGCGCCTTATGAGTTTCATCAGGCGCCTCGACGTCAGACTGCAGTTTCGGCACTGATTAGCTCCGTTAACTACGCCCCACTAATGAATGAATCAGGCGCCTCGACGTCAGACGACAG